TCTTTCCCTGACTCTCAACCCACACAGTTAGCCCGGCCTTTCAAACAGCCAATGCCACGATCCTAACCCTGCGCTCGAACTCAGTTCCCATGTTAACCTGATCCCCAGTTAAAGCTGTTCTTGCCTGGTGTACCATTGGACATCTCTCACGCTGTCCCAAACCAGGCCCAGAGAAATGGTCCGTGGGTGCGTAAAGCCTGGGAAGCAGAATGGGACAGATGTCGGGGGTTGGGGGTGGGGCCACCCAGGAACGTCACCTGTCCGCTCTGAGCTCTTCGAAAGAACAAGCGGAAAAACGAAATAATAACCTCACTGAAACGTCGTCCCTTTGTGTGCTGGTGAGCCAGTACGCCAACGGAATGCTCCCCTCGGCAAGCCCACTCGGAACGACGTTATTGGCATGACGAGGGTAGGCAAAAAGTGCCAGCGTCCAAATCATGGGTCAGGCGCCCACGAGTTCAGGATTTACTCACTCCATCTCGAATGCATTCATACTCAGTGCCTTGAATACACAAACATCCGGCGATGCAGCCACCTGGTAACACACACGTGCCAAGCGGTGACATCTTTCTGGAGTGCGATGGCACCCCGCTGACTAACAATCTATGAGGTAGTGTGCTTGAACAGATGAACACATGAAGCTGCCTTCTACTGAATCGGACCCTTGGGCCGTCAGGGTCAGTATTGTCTACTCAGACTGGCAGCCTGCCCTTCATGGTCTCTGGCTAAGGTCTTTCACGTCACCTGCTGCCTGGTCCTTTTCACTGAAGATGCCGGGGATTGAATCTGGGACCTTCTGCATGCCGAGCAGAAGCTCTGCCTCTGAGCCATGCCCCCCTCCCCCCTTCCCTGATGCACAGTGTATGTTGCTACTTTCAGCACCCGTGTGCCAGCACTGTTGTGAATATTTTCAGCAGTGTCATCCGGCTAAGGATGCCCAAGCTCTGTTTACCCATCCCAGAAGTTGTCATTTTAGTTTTTGTGACCTTCCTCAGTGGCGCTCAGGATAGCAAATGCTGTTCTCCTCTCCTCCATTTTAAGAACATAAGAACATAAGAGACGCCAATGTTGGATCAGGCCAAAGGCCCATCCCGTCCAACACTCTGTGTCACACAGTGGCCAGAAATACCAGTGCCATCAGGAGGTCCACCAGTGGGGCCAGGACATTAGAAGCCCTCCCACTGTTGACCCCCCCCCCAAGCACCAAGAAGACAGAGCATCACTTGCCCCAGAGTCCCTATCTATACCTTGTGGCTAATAGCCACTGATGGACCTCTGCTCCATATGCTTATCTAATTCCCTTTTGAAGCCGTCCATGCTTGTAGCCGCCACCACTTCCTGTGGCAGTGAATTCCAAGTGTTTATCACTCTTAGGGTGAAGAAGTACTTCCTTTTATCTGTTCTAACCCGACCGCTCAGCAATTTCATGGAGTGCCCACGAGTTCTTGTATTGTGAGAAAGGGAGAAAAGTGCCTCTTTCTCTACCTGCTCTTTCCCATGCATACTCTTATAAACCTCGATCATGTCACCCCTCAGTCATCGTTTCTCCAAGCTAAAGAGCCCTAAGCGCCTTAACCTTTCCTCATAGGGAAAGTGTTCCAACCCTTTTATCATTCGAGTTGTTGGTGAGGATTTTCTAATCCTCACCAACAATCCTACGAGGTAGGTTAGTCGGGGGGGGGGGGAAATGACTGGCCCACAGTTACCCCAGCGAGTTTTGTGGCTGATACAGCCTGTGTCTCTGACCAGTACTAAGCTGAATCTCGGCATGATCAAGGAAGCCCAATGATCCGCTCAGAGGGATCCATTTTTACAGACCGCCCCATGCCTGATTAGCTACCTGAATCCAGACAATAGCGCTCTGCTCTGAATGTGGACCAGTGGATTGTGCAAAGGCTGGTACGTGACATCAAAGGGTGCAACCAGGTGGGTGAGAGAAATGCAAGGGACCCGCAGAACGAATGGCGTGGAGCTATCGTACAGCTTGCTGTTGGCTGATATGCTGGGGTGCAAGAAAGACAGGACACCCAGAGCGGGACTGGGTCAGGCAAACCTGCGTTTTACAGGTTTGACGATGTACGTTTTCCAGTTTTCGGACCCTGCCTCAGGCACTTTTTTACATGGAAAGGCGCTTTGGTAAATGTTACCAGAAAAAAAACCCTCTTGGCCCGGAAGCTCACTCGAATGGCATCCGTTGCCGACTTCCAGCCTAGCCTCCCTGGCAGGATGGTTGTGAGGATAAAATGGGATCACCCTGTTTCCAGACAAAAGGGAATTCGGTGACGCAGGAAAGACTCGAGTGAGGCAGCCAAGCCGAAGACAGGGTGGGAGGGAGGAACTTAGAAGGCACTAGGAATTTTTGGCCAGGAGTGAATTTTTCCTGAATCTTTCCAACCGCACAGCTGCATCCCGTAATGTTTTTGCCAGCTGTTGTGCAGAACCCCTGTCTCTCTCACTTCTGAGCATATTAGCCAACAGTAAGCTTTATGGTAGCTTCACAGCGTTAGTTCTGCCGGCTTCTCACCCGTTTGGTTGCACCGTTTGATGTCATTCATCGGTCCCTGTGCCATTTGACACCATCCTTGAGAAAGGGCACACTTCTGCAGCACAAATCCCAATCTTCCGTACAGTGCCAGAGCACTTTGTGGTGAACTCTACTTAAAGACCCCTAAGATGTCCTGTTCCTGGGTGTCAGCTGTCTGGAAAACGATCCGAAGGAAGTTGTTTTAGTTCCCTGTCTGAAGACATATCCAGTACTTGGATGGGAGGCCACCTGCCATCTTTTGATATGCTGCTCAGCGCCTTTGGAAGGAAGGAAGGGTGCAAATGTCGATACTGTAGTCCTGACTTACAAAGCCCTATGCGGCCAGGGACCTGCATATCTCGGGGACCGTCCTTCCCCGTATGTGCCCCGCAGAGCCTTGTGCTCAGCTGAACAATGTCTTCTGGTAGTCCCTGGCCCGAAGGACGTCCAGCTAGCCTCAGCTAGGGCCAGCGCCCTTTCTGCCCTGGCCCCAGCTCCCATATGAGATCAGGGGGCCCTGCAGGATCTGTTACAAATCTGCAGGGCCTCATAAAACGGGCCCGTTCCACCGGGCCTTTGGTTGAGGCAGCGGGCATCCAAATTCCATTCTTGGCCTCCCCTGCTGACAGTCGTCGCCTAGCGGTTGGTGGCTTGATATCCCTCAACACCGCTTAGAACAGTGGTTCTCAACCTTCCTAATGCCGCGACCCTTTAATACAGTTCCTCATGTTGTGGTGACCCCCAAACATAAAATTATTTTCGTTGCTACTTCATAACTTTAATTATGCTTTAATTATGTTCAGTTTGTAACAATGAACATACATCCTGCATACCAGATATTTACATTACGATTCATAACAGTAGCAAAATTAGTTATGAAGTAGCAACGGAAATAATTAGGGTTGAGAAGAATTAAGGTAGAGAACCACTGGTCTTGGGCGACCCCTGTGAAAGGGTCATTCGACCCCCAAAGGGGTCATGACCCACAGGTTGAGAACCGCTGGTTTAGGTTTCCATCCGAGCGCAACTTTCACTCTGCTTTTTACGAAACTTTGAAATTTTCTAATTCAAATTTTAAATATTGTTTCTCTGTCACAGTGTAATATGTGACCTTGTAAGCTGCCCTGAGCCCGCTCGCGGGGAGGGCGGTATATAAACCAAATAAACAAACAAACAAATATTTATCCCATGCAAATGTACATGCTTATCCTTTTCTCCCCAATGGGGACCCAAAGCTGCTTATACAACATTGTTCTCCCCTCTTCTGGGTTATTATCACAGCAACAACCGTGTAAGTTTCCCTCGCAGAGGGGGGGGATTCAAACCCAGATCCCCTAGTTCGTAGTCTGAAATTCAAAGCGCGGCACCCCTCTGGCTGTCTTCCTTGTGTTGCCACCAGAAAAAGCTAGAAAGATCTTGTTCGTCTCCGTCCCTTTCTTCCAGGACGTACCATCATGACGCTTCTCTTCTCCCTCAGGTATACCCCGAGCTGCAGATCACCAATGCCGTGGAGGGTACCCAGCCTGTCGCCATCGACAACTGGTGCAAGAAGGGGCGACCCAAGTGCAGAAACCACCGGCACATCGTGGTTCCCTATCGGTGTCTGGGTAAGTCCCCGACATAGGCTGGCCACCAAGGATCAACGTGACATGGCAGGTCGGGGTGGTCCTATCGCACATCCGCCCTGTGGGGTCAAGTTCTCTCAGTCTGTAAAATGGGAATAAAAGCAATCCGTAAGCTGTGTGTGAGTCAGGTCTGTGATATGCAATGGAAGTTGGCGGTGGGTTGTCTTAGCTGCTTGTGAACCATGATTCCAGGGGAGTGCTGTCTCACAGATGAGGCTAGTTGCCAAGGCTTGCTTGTCATCTTTCTGTTGTTGAGACACAGTTAGGCTGTGTCCATGCATCGCTGAATATTGCGTGATTTTGCAATAGCAAACTGGATTTTCTTGTGTCAACAGTGATGAATTATTATTATTGTTGTTGTTGTTATTTTTATTATTGTTATTGTTGCTATTGTTATTGTTGCTATTGTTGATGTTGTTGTTGTTGTTGTTAAATTAATACCCTGCCCTATCCCACAAGTGGGCTCAGGGCGGCTTACAGCATAAAATCCACAAAGCAATAAAACCAATAAAACAATAGATGGCACAATTTTAAAAAACACCCCGTGCCTCATATCAGGTGGAATTATTGCTATTGCGCAACAATGATGCAATAACCGATGATACATGAATGCAGCCTTCGACCTGGACTAGCCTTATGACTGGACTAGGTCAGTTCTTGCAGTTTTCTTATAGTGAGTCAGATCTTTGGACTGTCAATATCGGTTTTGCCTGGCCAGACTGGCTGCAGCTCTCCAGGGTCTTAGGAGGTCACTCACCTCACCCACTCTCTGATCCGTTTAGCTGGAGGTGTGAGGGGATTGAACCTGAGATCTTCTGCATGTCAAGCAGACACTCTGCCGCTGACCTACAGCCCTGCTCCGTAGGTGGCTATGGGGATTACCTTTGAGAGTCAGCTGAGTCATTCCCTTGGGGCTTTCTAGCCCTGCGGCACAGCCAGCTCTCCAAGACTTTTAGCAAGCGGCCCATTACCCCTCAAACGCTCTCTCGAGATATTTGGCATGGAGATGCCAGGGGTTGAACTTCGGGCCTTGTGCATGCCAAACTATGCTGTACCGCTGAGCAATGTTCCCTCTAAGCTGTGGAGTCTTGTGAGCAAAATTTCTACTTTGTGAGCTGCTGGCATGAAAGTTGTGAGCGAGCGAGTTGGCGGCTGCATCAGTTAGCTTGCTCTGGAGCCCCCTCCTTCCTGAGCGGAGACAAAAATCTGTGAGCCGGAGGCTAAAATTCTGTGAGCTAGCGCACACTAGCTCAGCTTAGAGGGGACACTGCCGCTGAGTTGTGGAAGGAACCGACGCTTGCTCACTCTCTCCTTCCCTTCCCCAGTGGGTGAATTTGTGAGCGAGGCGCTCCTGGTGCCCGACAAATGCAAGTTCCTGCATCAAGAGAAGATGGACTCGTGCGAGAGCTACTTGTATTGGCACAGTGTGGCCAAGGAGGTGAGCTGCAGCCCTGGGACTGCTGACTGCAAACAAAGCCATCCGCCTTGGAGATGAACAGGGGCAAAAACATCAACGAAACCACGCCAATTTTATATTGTCACCGCAGCATCGAAGAGGGTGGTTGCTGGGATCTGGAGACCCAGCCCTCTGAGGAAAGGCTAAGGGGCTTGGGAATGAACAGTCTGGAGAAGGGGAGGTTGAGGGGGGGGACATGACTGCTCTCTTTAAGTCTTTGAAGGGCTGTCACTTTTAGAGGAGGGCAGGGAGCTGTTCCTGTTGGCAGCAGAGTATAGGACTTGCAATAATGGGGTTGAATTAAGGGCAGGAAGATCCCAGCTGGATATTAGGAAAACCTTTTTTAGGGTAAGAGTTGTGCAACAGTGGGATCAGCTGCCTGGGGAGGCGGTGAGCTCCCCCTCACTGGCAGTCTTTATGCAGCGCCTGGACAAACACTTGTCAGGGATGCTCTAGGCTGGTCCTGCAGTTTGGTGTAGTGGTTAAGTGCGCGGACTTTAATCTGGGAGAACCGGGTTTGGTTCCCCACTCCTCCACTTGCACCTGGCTGGATGACCTTGAGCAAGCCTTAGTTCTGATAAGAGCTGTTCTTGAAAAAGAGCAGTCTCTGTCAGAGCTCTCTCAGCCCCACCTACCTCACAGGGTGTCTGTTGTGGGGAGGGGAAGGAGTTTCTAAGCCGCTCTGAGACTCCCTTGGGTAGTGAAGGGCGGGGTATAAATCCAATCTCTTCTTCTTCTCATTGCGTGGGGGGTTGGGCTAGATGGCCTGTATGGCCCCTTCCAACTCTGTGATTCTTTGATTCTACGGAAGAGGATTTTGTATGAGAAATCTCTGGAAGATGCCATGGGGCCCAAGTGCAGTCCACCCGGCTGTGATAGAGCAGAAGAGCCACAGCCTTTGGCTTCTTAATGCTGGTTTGGGGGGGGGGGGGGGCAGCATGGCAGCATAGCCCAGTCTCATCCGATCTCAGAAGCTCAGCAGGGTCGGTATGTGAAAGGGAGACCACCCAGGAAGGCTCCGCAGAGGAAGGCCGTGGCAAACCTGCTCTGCTTTGCACGTGCCTTGAGGGCCCTTGTCGGGGTTGCCCCAAGTCAGCTGTGACTTTGAGGCACTTTACACACACAGTGTCTGTTTTCAGTGTGTGTATGTTTTCCACGTTTCTAGTCCTTATGAGTGTATAAAGGTACAGGCGGAACTGTTTTGGACATCACCTGGTGAAATCCCAGAAGGCGGAGGAGTTGTGGCGCAAGATCTCCAGTGCCCAGGAGGTGGGGAGAGACGCCCGGGAGCCCTGCCCTGTGACTAGGCGAAAGAATAAATATTTGCAGAACAGTAGAGCATGCACAAAACGAGAGAGGTCACGTGCATTCTTCTTAACTCTTGGGAATGTCTGTAGGTGGAAGAACTGGGCAGAATGTTGTGGTTTCTTTTGACGTATGCGTAGTTTGGCCGGTGATATTGAAGGGCTGGCTGAAGGATCCACTGTTCCTTGGCCCACGTGTCCCATCCCGCAGGTGTGCACTTGGCATTCTGGGTTGAAACTTAGATTCTCAGGTGCTCAGGGAGCCAGTTTGGATCGGCACTGTGGTGCATGGGGAAAGGGAGCTTAACCCCACCCCACCCATGGCATTTTCCTGACCATTTCAGCCTCTGGGGCTGCTTGCCCTATTATTATTATCATATGGCAGTGTGTGTAGTATAGCCAGGAGAGCCTAAGATTGACTGGCAGCCAGAAGTTCTAGCTCTTTTTCTGTTATGCACTGCTAGGTAGCAAGCTAGACTAACTTAACATGTACCGATGGGACTGCAAGCAGGGTAAATGGCAGCTCCCTGGAGAGATATCGAGTTGAGAAAATGGCAGCCGGGGGTGGGGGAGTCTTGCTCATCTCCCCCACCAGGGCCAACATACCCGAAGGTGTGCCAGCTGCCGGGGCCCAGGACGTCCGGTGGGGCCCACTGCCGCTGACCCCCGCCCACGTACCTTCCCTGCCGCCCGTCTTTACCGATGCTCCCAGCTGCCCAGAGTCATTGAGAAAGGGCACGTGGGTGCGCAGCTGCAGCACCCGTGCTGGCAATGGTGGGGGCACTCACAGCTGCATCCGCTGGCTGGTGTTGCTGGGGGAGAGGGGGTGCATGGGGTGCGGGCAACTGAGCATGCGTGGGGGGGAGGGCTTGCAAGCCGGAGAAGGATGCACAGGTGAGGTGGGAGCCCCAGGCACTGTATGCCCAGGGTCCCCCAAAAACTTGGAACTGGCCCTGCGGGACCTTGCCGTAGCCACACATCTCTCCAACTGTAGGGGCTCCCTGGGTATTCTTCCTGCTTCTGCAGCCTAACAGGCTGTTCATCAGGGAGTGGAACTGACCAGAAGCAGCAGGGCGGCTTCCCTTCCCTTTCCCAGCCTCCCTGCTGCTGCAGGGCAAGGGGCACTGGGAGTGGGGGGTCCAGGGGTGGGTCTGGCATCCTCCTGTGGTGGGGCAGGGCTCATCGGTGGTGGGGCACTGCCCCCAAATGCCCCGCTGTAGCTACTTGCCTGGTCCCTATGTGGGTGAGAATCGAAGCTTCAGCTGGGAGCTCCCAATCCCCATCTGTTTGATAGGGTTTTGGCTGGGCCCGGGGACAGTGCATCCTGTTAACAGGCCCCATGGGGTGCACAGCAGCATCGTGATACTGTCCTCTTCCTCTGATTCACAGGCCTGCAGCCCTGAGGAACTGGTGCTTCACAGCTACGGCATGCTGTTGCCCTGTGGGGCCGACCGCTTCCGAGGGGTCGAGTACGTGTGTTGCCCCGCACGCCCCACGCCCGTCAGGGTGGAACAAGCCACCGAGGCCCCTCCGAGCCTTGCCCATATGAGGGCGGAAGCGGTGTACAGGTGAGCAGACAGCTCCACATCGCACTTCGGTCCGGGGCACAACATCGCACTTCGGTCCGGGGCACCAACATCGCCTGGTGGTTCCAGGCCCCCAGGAGGCAAGGCTCGCCACAACTAGGACCAGATCCTTTTCAGTGGTGGCCCCTACCTGGTGGAACGAACTCCCGGAGGTGATCAGGGCCCCACGGGACCTTATGCAGTTCCGCAGGGCCTGTAAGACGGAGCTCTTCTGCCAGGCTTTCACATAGGGGCCACCACTACCACCGCCACCAATGAGGTGGATAACATTGGGGTTAAGGATGGCCCAGGAAGATCTGCCACAATTTCTGCGTAGCCACTGGATTTACCTGGTTGAGCTATAGGATAACATCACCCTGGAGAACCATCCGGAGACCATCTTGTTAAATTGAGTATAATTTTTATTAATTGTCATTAATGTTTTATTGCTTTTATCTGTTTTATATGGGTTTTCCCCTTGTAAGCCACCCTGAGCCCGCTCTGCGGGGAGGGCGGGGTATAAATCGTAATAAATAAATAAATAAATAAGCATCCTCCGCCCCTTAGAAGGATAGCGAGCATTTGTCATTTAGAGCGTTCAGAAGTGCTCAGCTTCAAGCAGACCTTACAACGGCCCTGTAAGGTGGATCGGCGTGCTTATTTCTATATTGCAGGCAGGAGGCTGAGGTCAGGGAAGGGTGTTTGTCTTAAAAGCCAGTTAGCAAGATCTGAACTGGAGGCTTCTGAATTCACTGCAAAGTCACTTGCCTACAAAGCTATGCTCGCTCTTACTTTGCTTATTTTCCAAAAATGGGGTGTAAGAGAAATTCCTCACAATTTTAGAAATGCCTCGCGAGTTTCTTTTGAAGTTGGCCCTGCTGGAATTCAGCTTTCTGGCTGCATGAATTTTTTGAAACTTGCTTGTCTCTTTTTAAAAAAATAAAAACATGGGCAGTCTGTTTTTCATTTCATGACTGTATGCTTGCATTCATGATCCCCCCCCCCATAAAAGCTGAGTGTCTAGTTCAAGATCTGAGTCATTTGACATCCCAGCGCTTCCTCTTGTGTGTTCACAAAACCGAGCTTGAATTCTGATTCAGACCTGGCATGGTGTACTGGTCTGAGTCTCTCACTAAGCCTGGCAAGACCCAAGTTCAAATTTCTGCTTGGCCGTGAAGCTAACTGGGCAAATCTTTAGCCGGCCACACTTTTTCAGCCTACCTTTCAGGCTTGTTGTGTGAGGAAAGGGCGAGAACTGCATACACCACTGTAGTACCCCAGAGAAACAAAACGAATTTGTATTTCAAGTAAGTGCTATAGATCTCTCCTCCCACTTAATCTGCTGCCATCCCAGTAGGAGCTACATCGTCCTGTTCAGGGTACTTCCGGAAAGGAAACTGTACCTTTCCCCCCTTTCTACAAAATGTGTCTCCCTCATCCACTTTCTTTGTGGCACCTCTCAGAGAATCGCCTGACTTGGTTCCTCTGTCCCCAGCAACAAGGTTCCAACAGCTCGCATCCCAACGGAGGAGGAGAGCCTGGAGCTGGAAGAAGATCGGGACCTGGAGGAGGAGGAGGAAGAGGTGGAGGAGGAGGAAGAGGAAGAGGAAGAGGAGGAAGAGAGCCCTCCAGACAATGCCTCAGACTCGGACCCCTTCCCTAACGCCTTGGATGACTACTTTGTGGAGCCGGGTTACTACGACGATAGCATCACCCAGACGACCATCACCACCACTACGCAGACCACTGAAGAGGACATCAAAGGTAAGCCGACGCAGGCAGCGGTGGACGTTTCCGAAGGGAGAAGTTTGTTGAATGCCTGCTGCGGAAGGAGTGACCGTTTGGCACATGAGAGTCCAGGGCGCGTGGAGCCAGCAGAAACCACCCAGGGGGTGGGAAGGAAACGCTCAGCTGCCTGGCCCGGTCACGTCTCCGCCACCACACAATGGGGCCTCTGTCTGAGGCAGAGCTCGGAACCTGGCTCTTCCCGACACGAAGGGGCAGCCGCCTCCCAGCCAACGCGTCCTTCAAGTCAACATCTCTGAGAGGCTGAAGGGGGCACTCCTGCCTCAGCTGGCACCAAACCCAGCGCCTGTCAGGCTCTGAATTACGCTGGGCCTCTGGCAGTGAGGGTTTGTTGTTGTTTTTTAAGATGGTTTCTTTTAAGAAGGGGACTGATACCACAGTAGTGAGACTTCTCTGTTATCAACGCAGCTTGAGGCAGGTAAACAGTTCGCTTTGAGATGGGTGCACGCGGGGGAATTCTCCGAGTAACAATCTCTCCCTTCCTCCTCGCAGTGACCCCGACCCCTCGCCCGACAGATGGAGTGGACGTGTACTTTGAAATGCCCGGAGATGGGAGCGAGCACGCCAACTTCCTGCGGGCCAAGATGGATCTGGAGGAGCGCCGCATGAGGCAGATCAACGAGGTGATTCACTGGCCCCCTGTCCCTTCTGGTGTCGTGCCAGAACATTTAAAGGTAAAGGTTCCCTTGCTCGAAAGCCAGTCGAGTCCGACTCTATGGTTGCGGTGCTCATCTCCGTTTCAAAGCCGAAGAGCCAGCGCTGTCTGAAGACGTTTCCATGGTCATGTGGCCGGCATGACTAAACACCAAAGCGCACAGAATGCTGTTACCTTCCCACCGAAGTGGTACCTATTTATCTACTTGCAATTTCTTGCTTTTGATCTGCTAGGTTGGCAAGAGCTGGGGCCGGAGACGGGAGCTTACTCCGTCACACGGCACTCGGGTCTCGAACTACTGAGCTACCAACCTTCCAGTCTGCAACTCAGCATCTTAACCTCTGAGCCACCGCAGCCCTGGCTACCCTCCAAAGGCCAACCTAAATAATTCAGCTTTGTATGCCCTGCAGAAACTAAGTCCAGCCGGGCATGGGTGTCATCCAGGAATGCATTCCACAGGGTAGGGGCCACAACTGAGAAGGCCCTTCCCCTGGTGACAGCTAACCCAGCCATCCTGGGGCCAGGCAAAACATTGGTCTGCTAGGTTTGAGTTGAGTAACACCTTAAAGAACAAGCCACTTTCCAGGATATGACCTTTTGAGAGTCGAGCAAGTCCGAGATAGGGAGCTTTGACTCTTGAAAGCTTGTACCCTGGAAAACGTGTTGGCCTTTTAGAGGCTACTGGAACCCAAATCTTGCTTTCTTCTTTGCACATCTAAGCAGTGAACTCTTTACTTGAGGAAGGGAAGGGCCCAGTGGCCTGACAGAAGCCTCCCTTTGTGCAAACTGGCAACCAGCTAGGTTCAAAGAGATTTCTGTGTTTGTATGGGGGGGGAGGGGGGAGACGCAGATCCAAGTGTCTAGGGAGCAAGCTAAAGAGGTCTACTTGGAAGTCCAGTTTTATTCAGGGAGGCTGACATTCTTAGGGCTGCAGCCTTCAGCACTTTATCCCTCACCTCTCCTGACTTTGCAAGAAGAAAATGCTCAACAGTATCCGATATCTGATGGGCTGCGGTGGCTCAGTGGTTAAGACGCTGAACTGCAGACCGGGAGGTCGTTAGTTCGGCAGTTTGAGACCCGAGTGTCGCATGACGGAGTGAGCTCCCATCTCTGGTCCCAGCTCCTGCCAACCTAGCAGATCAAAAGCAAGAAATTGCACGTAGATAAATAGGTACCGCTTTGGTAGGAAGGTAACAGCGTTCCGTGCGCCTCGGCGTCTAGTCATGCCGGCCACATGACCACGGAAACGTCTTCGAAAAGCTCTGGCTCTTCGGCTTGGAAACAGAGATGAGCACCGCACCCCTAGAGTCGGATTCGACTGGCTTTCGAGCAAGAGAAACCTTTACCTTTATCCGGTATCTATAATACAGATACCTCATGCAGCTAATACCAGGAAGCGGTGGGTGACTGCAGTATGGGAGCAGAGTAGACTATGTGCCTGTCAGTGGGCACAGCATCAGGATCCAGGGTTTTGTTCTGATTTCGTAGGTCATGAAGGAGTGGGCCGAGGCCGACAACCAAGCCAAGAACTTGCCCAAGACTGACCGACAGGCACTCAACGAGGTGAGCATCGGCACTGGGGAAAGGGACGATTGGCCAGCCACCGTGCTGCAGTCTACTCTGGCATATCCATTGGTGGCGGTTGTTAGCTTGACCATGTTTGGGGCTTCCTTAATACTGTGGTTTTGGTCACATTGTGAGAAGACTCCCTGGAAAAGACAATAAGGCTAGCAAAAGTCAGTTGAAAACGCGGAAGACCCAGCACGAGGTGGGTTGACTCAACAAAGGAAGCCACGGCCCTCCATTTGCGAGGCCTGAGCAAGGCTGTCAACAATAGAGCATTCAGAGGTCAAAGGGGGAACCTCAGCATTTAGAGGCAGTCTACCTCTGAATCCCAGTGCCAGGAGGCAGCATCAGGGGAAGACCTCGACCTCTATACCTTGTTGTTGGCCTTCCAGAGGAGCTGGTTGGCCACTGTGTGAGACAGGAGCTGGACTAGATGGACCACTCGTCTGATCCAGAAGGGCTGTTCTTATGTTGTTAAGAACATAAAGTTTTGGAGGTCATTCATCCATAAGGATGCCATAAGTCCAAAACAGCTTGGTGGCACATAGCTCACATATGTTGTGTTTGTCAGTGGCTTGGGTTTCTAGTCTCACCTGTTACCTGTCTGCCTCCTCACTCTTACCTTTTTAATGAGTACCCCTCCCCCACCCGGGTTGCTATTCCCCCAATTTCTGGCCCCCGAATCCACCTGCCAGCCAGCTGCCGGCAGGGGGAGCTCCGCCCCCAAAGAGCTCCCCGGCATCCAATGTGCCTGACGTGGTGAGGTCACCCAGAGGTGACATCATCACTCTGAGCACATTGCCAGGGGATGCTCTAGCATTTGGCCCAAAACTCTATGGTACCATAGAGCTTTTGACCAAATGCTAGAGATTCGCCCCGCAATGGGCTCAGCACGATGATGTCACTTCGGGATGACATCATCGCGGTGCACGCATGCAAGAAGATCCCAGGAAGGAGCCTCCGTCCCCGTCCCCCCCGTCCCCCGTGTGGCGAGTTTACTATCACTGTTAGGGCCCCTAGTTTTACATCGTGGCCTTCTGGGTAAGTGGCATTTGCTTTCTCCATGGCTTTTGTCCATAAACCATCTTAAACGTATATGTTCTAAAAGCATATAAATTATGACATACATTCATTTAATTGATTACCTTCCACTTCCGCCCCGGCTCGCTGCTTTTGGCTGTCGCAGCATTTCCAGTCCATCCTCCAGACGCTGGAAGAGCAGGTGGCCAAGGAACGACAGCGGCTGGTGGAGACTCACCTGGCCCGGGTGGTGGCCCTGCTGAACGATAACCGCCGTGCAGCGCTCGAGAGCTACCTGACAGCCGTGCAGAATGATAACCCTCAGGTAGGCAGAGGGACCCTGGCCTGGATGGCCCAGGCTAGCCCCATCTAGTCCGATCTTGGAAGCTAAGCAGGGTCGGGCCTGGTTAGTACTTGGATGGGAGACCACCAAGGAAGTTGTCATGATCTGGGGCCTATAGCAGCGCGGCCTACAGGCTCTAGGGAGGCCTAGATGGCTCCAGGGAAGCCTGTATTAGAGTGACTGCAGGGCCTGCATTTCCCAGGTCACCCTTTGTGATTGGCTAACAGGGGGGTTGGAGGGAAAACTTACACCAGCAGTAGAGGGTGGCGCCTGGGAAGAAGGGATCAAAGGCCTGGCCCAGCGTGGGAGGGGGGTTCACTCCCAGGGAGCAGAGCCGGTGAGGCTGCTGCAGAAGGAGGGATCCCTCATCCAAAAGGGGTGAGTCAGTTTGAGGCCAAATACCTAGCAAAGGCTAGGTCAGTATAGTCAGATGCTTTAGGATTTCTTATTTTGCTGGTTTCCCTCCTTTGCTGTGCTAATTTTTCCTTTATATTACTGGATTATCGTTGTTGTCAAATCTCTGTAATAAAAAATAGTCTGTTACTCTGCCCGGGTCCTCACGCCTCATTCGGTCACGTATAAGGGGAAACCTACTGGAAAAGGAGTGTATAAAGGGGTGGGGTGGGTGCCCTGGGCCCTCCTGAGGACACCCATACCAGAGTGGTGGCAGCCAATAAAGAACCCTTCTAGCCACTGCTGGCCACAGAAGTCCAGGGTTGCTGTGCAGAGGCAGGCAATGGAAAAGCACCTCTGTTCATCTCTTGCTTTGAAAACCCCATGAGAGATCACATTAAGTCAGCTGCGACTTGATGGCGCTTTCTGCCACCAGGCAGAGGGAGCATGGGCGAATTGGATGAGAGTGGAGAGTTCTCCAGGGCGTTGGGAACGGAGGGTATCTGTTGTCCAGACAATAGCTCACAGCATTCACGGTTTGGTGCAGTTGTGTTAAATCAGGGGGCGGCGCCACGGCTTAGGAGAAGAGCATCTGCTCGGCAGGCCAAGGTTCCAGGGTCCATTCCCTGCGGCATCTCCCCTTTAAAAAGGAATCTGGTAGCAGGTGATGCAAAAGACCTCTGCCCGAGAACCTGGAGAGCTGCTGCCAGCCTGGGTAGATGGTGCTATCCTTGATGGACCGAAAGGCCTCTTCAGTATAAGGCAGCTTCTTGCGTGAGAGAGATCGTTCCAGACAGGTAGCGGCATCAAGGCCGTTGTAGCAGAATCACACAGGAGTCTGGCAGTACCTTGAAGACGAACAGATTTTAATTATAATAGGAACTTTCGTGAGTCAGATCTGTGCCTCTAAGGAAGTGGGGAGTGTAAGGGGAAGGGGGGGCTGCAGCTTGTTCATTGGCTTGGATCCAGCAGCACAAGTGGAAAGGGAAAATGTACTTGGCACAGTTCCACTTGCACAAATGGTAGCGCATAGGCTGCAGTGGCGCATAATGCTTCAATATAATTTTTTTAGCAGAATAACGATACGCGTATAGATCAGTGAAACGCACAACTTCTTCCACCCGACTTTTAATGCCCCAAATAGCCTTTTTAAAAAAAAACTTCAATGGTCTTTGATGGGTTTCAATCATTTCGGCTGCTGATTTATTTTAATTGAGATTGCTGATGCCTTTAATTCCTCTGATTCCCTCCCCCCCTCGCTGCTTTAATTCTGATGACTTTGTAGGCCGATGCTGTCTTTTATATTGTGTTTGGTTGTCATCTGTTGTGAATCTGATTTTTTTTTTTTTGTAAACCTCCGAGTGTTGTTTTTAAACACAAAAGCGGTGTGGAAACTCTCTGAATAGGTCGAATTAGCAAGTAGATGTGAGGCCACGTAAGACAGGTGCAGTCCAGAAGTTGGCCATTCTCAGCAGAAGTCCGAGTATAGCTCAGCTGATCATCCTTTCTACTGATGTTCCCACCACTCTGTCAATCTCCTCCCTAGATTCCTCCAGCATCCCTCCACCTCCCATTCTCCTCAACTGCTGGATCCCCTTCTGTTAAGAGCCAGTTTGGTGTAGTGATTAAGAGTCATGGGTTCTAAGCTGGAGAACTGGGTCTGATTCCCCACACCTCCACATGCAGTTGCTGGTGTGACCTTGGGTCAGTCACAAGTTTTCTGAGCTGTTCTCTCAAGGGCAGCTCTCCAGAGAGCTCAGTCAGCCCTACCTACCTCACAGGGTGTCTTTTGTGGGGTGGAAAGGGAAAGGAGATGGTAAGCCACTCTGAGACTCCGAGTGAAGGGCAAAGTATAAATCCAATCTCTTCTTCTTAGGGAGGAGCTGTAGCTCAGTGGTTGAGCATCTGCTTTGCATGCCACAGGCCCTAAGTTCAGTCATCAGCACTTCCAGCTAAAAGAATCAGGGATGAGGTGATGTGGAGGACTTTCCTCTGAGACCCTGGAGTGCTGCAGTAGACAAGCATGACAGTCCAATAGTCCCTCTCAGGATAATGCAGCTTGGTGCATTCTCATTAAGAGGAGAGGTCATGGCTACAGAGGTGGAACATCTGCTTAGCATGCAGAAGGTCCCAGGTTCAATCCGCCTCATCTCCAATTAAATGGATTAGGTACCAGGAGATGTGAAAGGACCTCTGCTGGAGACAAGACAGTTGGAATCTAAGTGGTACAGAGAGCCACTACCAGCATCAAAAGATTAAAATATCTATTAAAAAAGAAAATGTTTACAAGCCTACTTTTAGCACAGCACCAGACTGAAGCAAGGAAGAACAAAAGAAGTGGGTACAAAGCACAGTCCTTTTATCCCTGATGCCCTAACTGATGGGAAAATAGAGCAGGCACAGATACTCTTAGAAAGTTGCACGTTTGTCCTCTCGTTGTTCCATTACCTGGGGGATCCAAGCAGCCTTCGTGGAGGCTGCATGGTGAGCAGAAAATGGCTGCTGTGGAGAACAAACCTGCCGAAGGTCTGCCCTTGTTGAGGATCTGGAGTGTCTAGAGAGACTTCTTGTCAGAGTAGATGATACCAACTTTGATGGACCGGTGGTCTGACTCAGCTTCATGTCTTCCTCCTTGCCCCCATCTCTGGTCTCTCTGCTGTTCTCCATGCCTGGTACACCCTTTGCTACTTCTGGACTGGCCTAACCGTAGAGGCCACTGAGGTAGCATCCCAGGGCACGAGAATCCCCGGGGTGATTCCCTGAGCAACATAAATTCCCTTTTGTTTAGTTTGTAGCCTGGCCTTTTTTTCTATCACGGAAGTCAAGGTGGTGTATGGGAAGGGCCGCCTAGCTAGCGGACTGCTGCATCGAGGGTCCTGTGTCACATGCTTTCTAGCCATGCTCTGGGACTAGGCATCCTTGGAGAACATGCTGCTCACTGCATTCCTGCAGGGAAGGGCACCGAGGAAACTATGCAGCTCACTATCTAGGCTAGGGTCCTAATCCCAGTGTTTCCTAGGGTGCAGTGGAGAGCCTGCATGATGCAGTGTTGGTTTAGGACCTTGGATCCCAATCCCCACTCAGCCATGGTAGCTGGTTGAGTGGCCTTGGGCCAGCCTCAGCCTACCTTGCCTCGCAGGGCTGTTGTGGAAGCCAGATCGAGGAGGTTACAACCGTCTACGCTGCCCTGAGTTCCTTGGAGGAAGGGTGGGATAGAAGCAGATGTTGGGAGAGGTCATCATGGCTGTAAAGGAGACGAAATAGTCACGACCAATTGAGTCAAGAGAATGGTCTGTGCCGTCTTTTCTTCTCAAATGGGGACCCAAAGCGGCTTTCAACATCATTCTCCCTGCTTCCTGTTTTATTCTCACAACAACAACCCTGTGAGGTAGGTTAGGCTGAGAGGGAGCAACTGGACCAAGGCCACCCACGCAAGCTTCTGTGAGAGAGTTGGGATTCGAACCTGGGTCTCCAGCGTTGTAACCCCTGCACCATGCTGGCTCACTCAGGAGTTGAACTGAGTGCTTGTGTGTGTGTGTGTGTGTGTCGTTGTAACCCCTGCACCGTGCTGGCTCACTCAGGAATTGAACTGAGTGCTTTTGTGTGTGTTTGTGTGTGTTAATGGCCGTGAGACATGGGGAGAAGGGACTTTAATTTGCTGATCTGGATAGCCCAGGCTGGCTGGATTTCACCAGATCTCGGAAGCTAAGCGGAGTCAGGCCTGGTTAGTATTTGTGCGGGAGACCACTGAGGAAGTCCAGGGTCACTATGCAGAGGCAGGCAGTGACAAACCACCTCTCAGTGTCTCTTGCCTTGAAAACCCTGCAGGGTCACCATAAGTCAGCCGTGACTCAAGGGCAAAGGAAGAAAAGACAAAGGGAGATGGGCCTTTAATTCGTACAGGGTATCTTTCCCCACTGCTTCTGAGACCTTTGTCAAGATCGACTCCTTCAGCAGAGACTGCTGCAACCTCCTGCCACCTACCCTATCTGCTCCCTTCTGTCCCGTTTGCCTGATGCCGGCTGCAAGCTGAGTTGCCCTGACGTCCCCCACCGCCTCGAGCACTTTGGTGCCGCGAGTGGCAAGTTGGTAGCAAGCGTGTGGCTGGATATCAGGGATACACACGGAAGCGACTGTTGACAGAGATTGAAGGAAAGGTTGATCGTGGAGGATAATATGCAAGCGAGCTCTGCCGGCGGGGGCGGGGGAAGGACCAGTTAGCCTGGAATAACCCACCGCGTGCAGGTGCATGGAACCTGAGATGCTCATTCCTGTCTTTCTGTATCTAATACTTAAGCGATGCATGCCCCAAAATGCTGTGAGCTATACAGATCGAGGCACAGCCGATTATACGGAGAACGTGCAGCTTAAGGGTACTCAGCAGAGCCGTGGTTGGGTGGGAAGGAAGAGGGGC